AGCTCAGTGGCACCGAGTCTGCCTCACAAGTGCAAGGTCCTGAGTTTGATCCCCGGCACCCAAAAAAAGGGAAAGAAATAATACAGTTCAATAAGCTGTCTCACTTATCAGTCCTCCTAAAAGATTGTTACAAATAAAACTATTTAAGAAATACCTGCCAGAAATATCAGAATAAATCCATAATGTGTACTCAAGAAAAGGACTTATGTAAGTATATTTTAGGACTATACACACACACACACACACACACACACACACACATATATATATATAGTTTGTTTTTTTCACATTCCAATAAATTTATTCTGTAAAAACAATACATTTTTTTGTTGTTTTTTTTTACAGTAAACTTTTCAACTACAAACCTTGAATATGTGAAAGATGTTTCAAGGACAAGCATAACAGGATTAATAAAACCCAAACTGACTAAATGTGTTCTCACAATATAAGTTGGCATAAAAATAAATAAAATTCTCTATTATCACAATAGTAACAATGATGTACACAGTAATCATTTGTGGATGAATATTAACTATTCTAATTCTAGTTCCAAAAAGAAAACAGGTCATTCAAAAAGTCAATATTTAAAACTCAATGCTTTGTCTGGTTTCCCATAGGGTTGTTGCTGATTTCAGCTTTAAAATGTAAAGTATTTACCTTGAGTGGTTAGCTCAAATTGTACTGGCACTGGGAAAAAAATAAATCCTTGGCTTTATTCTGGAGTAACACAAAAAGACTCACTAACTTCACATATAGAAACTCAGATTATGTACCTAACAACATGAGTTTTGAGAAGTATAAGCTGTCAACTAGCTATTTCTAATACAGTAAAGATACTGTATAGTATGGTTAAACTTTACACGTGGCCTCAAAACTTAAGGATGATTTAAATTTCATGTTCAATATACCAACATTATGCATCTAGGAATTAGTTCTTGGGTTCTGTCAAAGAGGAAATCCCATCCTTAAGCATTAAAATGCTTAAGCCACTTAAAATGCTAATTAATATTAAACACTTAAACTATTAAATGTTAAGTGTTTGGTGATGGTGGGGTAAAGGCAGGAAAATGATGAACATAACTGCCTTGATAAAAGGATCCTAGACATGTGAGTCTGTGCAAAAATTTTGATAATTCTTAGTGGTTAAGGGCAACATCATGCAATCCAATAACATAAAATTAAATCAATAACCTTAAAAAAGGTTAAAATGTCTTTTTTTCCTAACAAAACAGAAAGGAATGTGAATGTACATACAAACTGGGGTTCTGTCAATGACAACAAAGACTTTGTGTTGGTTCATATCAAAGCCAAGAGTATTGGACAACCAAACATTTAAACTTCTTGTGGTTTCTTGAAATATGCAGCATTCATTGTGGTAGTTAGGTCCCTTGCTGGTTTTTTGCAGGTCTGAAGCTGTGTTTCTTGTGTCATTGCCGGGATCTCCACCTTCAGAGCTGCTTTTGTTTTCTTCTTCTTTGCAGTCTTTATCATCTTCATCATCGCCTGGAGATTTCCGGGATTGTTTAGAGGATTTCTTTGAAGTGTACGATTTTTTCCGTTTTGAGCCTCCTTTTTCATTCTTTCTTTTGCCTTTTCCATCTTCTTCTACTCTGTCACCTTCTTCTTCACTACTTGCATCTGCAGTATTTACACCTTCTCTCTCAGTTTCTGAAGAGCTCTTTTGCTGAACTGCCTGGTAACCAGTAAACTTTACTCCTGGGTTATTTTCTATTTCCCACAATCCTTCATTAAATCCTTTCCGTTTGTTTGACTTTCCAAACTTGTCTTTGTATTCCTTATATGGAAAAAGATCTTTGGGACATAGAAATGCAGTTTCATGGGCACCAAAAAAGAAGATAGGATACTTGTTTGCTGGAGGCTTCACAGCTCCCTCTGGGAGTTTCATCAATCCGCGCCGGCCAGGGTGGGTAGCCCTTGATCTTGCGGAATACCAAGTCGCCTGCCTTGTACTGGCGGGGCCGTGGACGCGCCATCCCGGCCGCTCCCCGGCCGGCCGGGTCACCCTTGGTCGACGTGACGAAGCCGGCGGCCGCCCCCCACCGCAGGCCGCTGCTCCGACAATCAAAGCGGGCACGGGGGGGGGGGGGGGGGGGCGAAGCCGGCGGCCGCCCCCCACCGCAGGCCGCTGCTCCGACAATCAAAGCGGGCACGGGGGGGGGGGCGGCCACGAGTTGCCGCCGGTGGAGGGGAGTTTTTTGGGTTTTTTTTTTGGGTACCGGGGATCGAACTCAGGTCCTTGCGCTTGCGAGGCAGGTGCTGGAACCACTGAGCTAAATCCTGTTTTTTGAGACAAGGTCTTGGTAAGTACTTCAGGCTGGTTTTGAACTCACTATGTAGCCCAGGCTGGCCTTTGAACTTGTGGCAATCCTCCTGCCTCAACTTCCTGAGTGCTGGGATCTTTGGCATGTGCTACCACACCTGGCAGGACTTAATTTAATGCATAATTTAATGTCTAATGGTTAAGGAAAAAGTGGAAAAGGTTTAAACTTTAATACATACAGTACTAGTTCTAGTGATATAGTTAACTCTATGCTGCAGTTTCCCTTTACTTTTAAAAATTGACTGGGGCTGGGGATTTAGCTCAGTGGTGCCACACCCACCTTGCAAGTGCGCAAAGTTCTGAGTTTGATTCCTGGTACCACACACACACACACACACACACACACAAATTAGCTGAAAAAGTTACTAAAAAGGAATCAAAATTGCTTAGGAACTTAAATTAGCAACACAAAATTCAGGAGCCTAGAATTGGGAGCAGATTCTTAAACCAACAATCCTGCTGAAAACCATTTCCTTCTGTAATTTGCCACAAACCTGGAACTAGACTTATACTTTCCCTGCCAAACTATAAACAATGCTGATGCCTTGTACCTGGCACCAGACAAAATTAGCTTTAACATCAACTGGAGAAGGTGGAATGAACTCTCAGAACATGTACAGCTAAGAGAAAGTGAGTTTAAAACAGTCTGTCCCCAAACTCAAATTTTAATAATTAACCCAAAGATAAATTTATGGCAGAGCAAGAACAAATACCACAAACCTTGAGGTATGGTTAAAGGCTCCATTAATATAGAATGAAAGATAATTATTTTAAAAGGACTTTTTAAACACCCATGGATTTTTAGACCAGTCAAATACGAGAGTAGACAGTACACCCTCCCAGCCTTAAGTCACTAAAGAAGCACCTGAACCAAAGACAAGCCCCAAACAAGATAGGACACACATATGACATTACCTGTTGGAAAAACTGTTGAATCGGGACCAACTCCATCCCTTAGACTCTGACTGGGAAGACCACCAGATCCTTGTAAGCAGATGTAGTGGCCATTACTGAGAGTGAAGCAACTGGTAGCAGGGTAGATATGCAAACAAATGTGGGATAAAATAGCCACCTAAGTTCCTTGTTACAGTGGAACATAGGGTAGGGAGCTCTTAGTGATGAAGGTTTAGAGATAAACAGGATGCTACCCTGGATTCTGACAGCCCTTCAAATTCCAGAATGCAGAGAAATATTTATGATATCCAGTTCTTTACCTACTTTATGTTCTCTTATGAAATCTGGATACATAGCCAAAGTTGTTTAGTCACAGTTCTCCTACAAAAGATGTCCAGTTCTTAGAAGTAACCAAAGTGAGTCTTCGTTCCTTCTAACTCAAAAGATGTAATACATTGTAAAAAATTACTGTGTATGTTTGGCGTAGGAAACATGGAAAACAGAAAAATACATAAAGTCAAAATAAACTTTCCAGGATATTAACTGTTGTGACAATTAATTTTATATAATTCTTGATGGTGTTTTTTTTTTTTGGTTTGGTACCAGGGATCGAACTTGGGTCCTTGTGCTTGAGCAGCAGGCAGTGAAACCACTGAGCTAAATCCCCGGCCCTTGATGTTATTTTTTGATGAGACTAACATTTATTTCTGTGAACTGAGTGAGCTGACAGCTCTCTGTAATGTGAGTAATCTCAGCCCAGGAGTTGAGGGCCTGGCCGAAACAAAAAAGATCTGCCTCCTCAAGCAAGGGAGAACTCTCCAGCAGATCACCTTCAGGCCTCATCTGCACAGCTGGCTCTCAAGGTCTTGGGCTGCTGGCCCATATTGGAGATTTTAGACCTGCCATCTTCCATTATCAAGTGAGCCAATTCCTTCTAGTAAATCTCCCTTCACTATTGGTCCTCCTTCTCTGGAGAATTTTATTTAACTCTTGTGAAAACTGATTTTCTTCCAGTTTTCCCTCTGTGTTCTTTTCTTCTATACTATTAAATACTGCTTCTAACTATGATTGTAATGGCTACATAGTATTACAAAGGTTGGATGTTTCACAATTTATTTGGTCACCAAACTGTTATTGTATATCCATAATTCTATTGGGTGGGATTTGAGGGTTGTTTGTTTCTGAGCCTTTCTATGATAAAAGTATGTACTTTTACCTAAATTTATATAATTTTGCCTATATCTGATTATTTCTGTAGAATTCCCAGATATGGAATTAACTGGGCTAGGATGTGAACTTGAGAGTTTTAAAATATATTACCGAATGCTGTACACAAAGGAGTGTAATGATTATCATTTTACAGCACCTTTACCAATGTTTCGTATTTTCTTTTTTTTCCGGTACTGGGGATCGAACTTCAGGACCTTCCACTTGCCAAGCAGGCACGGTGCCACTCAGCTACATCCCCGAGCCTAGCACCTTTACCAATGTAATAACATTTATAAATCATACATGATTTAATTCTAATCAACTATCAACCATTATTTAAAAATAAATCTCTTGTAAAACTAGAAGTCCAATTGACAAGACAGAAAGTATGAAACGACTTTAGATTACACAGAATGAAATATAGTATGTATTTTTTTTTTTTTTGGTACCAGGGATTGAACTTGGGACCTTGTGCTTGCGAGGCAGGTGCCAGAACCACTGAGCTAAATCCCCGGCCCCAGAATGAAATATTGTTGTGCTTGTGTAACCTACCCACCTATGTACGTCACTTCCACATCCGCTAGCACCTGTAAGCAGTTCTCATAAGTGACTTCCTCCATCTTGAGCATTCCAACAGCATCATACACCTGTTTGGTCTGCACAATTAGTTCCTCAGTTCTTGTTCTAATTTGCTCTGGTGAAAGATCCCATCTTAGAACATTTCTGCCATTTGTAGTATAAGAAGATACCGCCCGAAGAGGAGACGTCACTTCTCTTCCTAATGTCATTCTGAGTAAAACCCTGGAACCACCAACTCTAAGAAACCAGAAAAAGAATAGAAATTAGGAATTGTTGTATGTCCAAAGTCAAGATACAAATGCATGTTATAAAATTACACTGAACAATTCTCTCATGTGAACACATATGCATAAAACTAAATACCTTTGCATTTTCTATTTTTCTTACGTAATTATAATTTTAATGGAATTCATACCATCCAAATACTGAATTGTTCACATCAAGAAATCATACAGAAAAAATGAAAGTAGGTGTCAGAGACATAATAAATATTCTGTATAAATTAAACTAGAAATCTTTCCTGTGTTAATTTCCACCTACTATGTACATAGATGCAGGAAATGTTTGCAGGAGTGGCAAGGAAACATAAAAATTCTGTTTTTATACTCAATATCATTTTTTCTCCAAATTCCATGCAAATCAAGAATAATTATTTGAATTTATTTGTAGAAAATATAATCTCAGGTATAGCTATTACATTATCATAAAAGCAAAAAGAGAAACACACTTTTAAAAGTAATATTAATCCTTTACTCCTTTAACAGATTCAAATAATACTGATGCTATGTTTGTATAATGTTTGTGTGTATGTCTCTCTCCCCTTTTCCTCCCTTCTCTCTATATGCCCCATCCATTTTTGAGCTTATAAATAAAAATATTACATTTATTAGCTAACATTTCCATAGTGTTCTCAGGAACTATTCAAAATGCTTTCCCCGTACTAACTCACCCAGTCCTTCAACAATTCTTATTAGTTACGTACTGTGGACATTCTCATTTTACTAAAGAGAAAAAGTAAAACATAGAGAACTAACTTGCTCAAGACCACATTACACAGGAGGCTGTTTAAAAACCAGGCAGTACAGACCTAGAACCCACTCTTAGCCACTATGCTAAATTTCATTTCTCTTACCTTAAAAGACCTTGAAGTAACTTTATGAGGTAGATAGGGCATTATTCTCTTTTAACTAATGCTGTTTAGAGAGGCTAAATGATTTGTTTAATGAAATTTGCCCAACAAATATTTATGAGGACACACTTTGTATAGTTACTGTGACAGACAATGAAGATTAAGTGGGATCCTTTTATTCTCATATAGAAAAGATAAATGGTTAATAAATGGACAATTATGCTACTTCAAGACTAGTGCTATGACAGGGGTAAGCAGAGGGAATGCTGAAACCACAGAAGGGGCACACATTCTCGTCTTGGGATGGGGAGAGGGTGTCAAGGAAAATGTTGCAGAAGGAGCAAGGAACAAGTTAAAATTTCAACAATATGTAGAAATCATCCAAAGACCAAAGCCCATGAGGAGAAGGCTAAAAAGGCAAGTAGAAACTAGCAAATGGAAAGCCTTAGGGATCATTAAAACATTCAATCTTTCTTTTTTGTTTTTTTGGGGTTTTTTTGTAGTATTGGGGGTCAAACCTAGGGCCTTATGAATGCTAGGCAAGCACTCTAACACTGAGCTATATCCCCAGCCCTCAAGGTTGTTTTTTTAAATTTTTTTTTTGTTTTGGTACAGGGGATCGAACTAGGGACCTTGTACTTGTGAGGCAGGCACTGGAACCACTGAGCTAAATCTCTGGCCCAAGGTTGTTATTTTGAAGGATACAGAGAGCCATTGAAAGGTTTTAGTCAGGAGAGAGATGTGATAAGGTTTACATTTCAGAGAGAGGTTGTTATTACAATTAGTGTATTGATAAAGGATTATCAAGGTAGGAAACAGGGGAACTGGAGTGATACAAGATGCTCAGAAGGCAGAGTCAACATGACTTGGTACTGAATGGATGTAAGGGGGCAGAGGTAAGAAAGTCAAGCACAGTGTCCAGGTTTCTGTCTTGGAGCTGGATGGATGGTGGTACTGCTTAGTGCTATAGGGAATACAAAAGAAAGAGGAGGGTGTTGGGGAAAAATGAGAAAGTGAATTTTGGATATGGCACATGTGAAGGGAAATTTACTACATTACATGGTACTGTACTTAGCATTGTGTGGTTGAACTGACCCAAGGAAGTTTGCAGAGTAAGAAGAGAAAAACACCTAAGCTCTGGGAAAAAGGTCCTAGGTAACAAGAGAAAAATGAGAGGCATCACAATCCTGGACTTGAAATTATATTGCTAAGCTACAGTGATAAAAACAACATAGAAGTGGCACAAAAACAGACATGAAGATCAACTAAACAGAAAAGAGGATGCAGAAACAAGATCAAGTATATTAAACTATTTGATATTTGACAAAGGAGCCAAAAACATAATACTGAAGAAAAGACAGCCTCTGTAATAAATGGTGCTGTGAAAACTGGCTATCCACATGCAGAAGACTGAGTCTAGATCCATATCTCTCACCATGTACTAAAGGAAAATCAAAATGGATCAAAGAACTAAATATTTAAACAGAAATACTTAATCTGCTGGAAGATAAAATAGGTCAAACTCTTGAAGTCACAGGCATCGATCGGCAAGGACTTTCTGAACAGAATCCTGGTTGCAGAGGAAATAGTATCAAGAACTAACAAATGGGATCTTATCAAATTAAACAGCTTCTGCAAACAAAAGAAACAACAGAGTAAAAAGAAAACCCACAGAATGAGAAAAATATTTGTGTCAGCTATTCCTCAGAGAACTATTATTCAGAATACTGTATATAAAAAACTCAAAACAAAATTATGGACTCCCAAAATAAAAGACTCCAAAAATGAGCAAGTAAAATGAATAGACACTTCATAGAAGAAAAAGTACAAATGTCAATACATGAAGAAATGTTCAACAGGGCTGGCCATTAGAAAAATACAAATTAAAACAACGTTGAGGTTCCATCTTACCCCAGAAAGAATGGTCATCATCAAGAAATCAAATAATAAATTCTGGCAAGGCAACAAGGAAAAAGGGACCATTCTTCAGTGCCTGTAGGAATGTAAACTAGTCCAACCACTATGAAACTCAGTATGGCGATTCCTCAAAAATACAAAAATTAGAAAATCCATTTGACCCGGGTATTCCCTGTCTAGGTATCTTCCAAAAGAATTAAAGATATCATATTACAGTGAAACATGCATACCCATGTTTATAGCAGCACAATTCATAATAGCTAAATCTTGAAAGCAGCCTATATGTTCATCAACAGGTGCATGGATAAAGAAAATGTGGTATACTGCCCCGCATGTCTGACCTGGTGGCACAAGGCCCCATAGCCACTCCCTGGCATGGCCTCACAGGACAAGGGGGCTGGGCACAGAGCAGGCTGGCAGTCTGTGTTGCAGAAAAGTCCCCTGTGTGTGTCTGTAGAGGGCAACACTTGGGTGCCAGGCTCACAGGGAGAATAAACCTGGCAGCTGAAAAAAAAAGAAAAAGAAAAAGAAAAAAAAATGTGGTACTTATACATAATCGAGTACTACTCTGATATAGAAAAATATAAATGAGTCATTTGTAGGAAAATGGATGTGCCTTACGACCATAATGTTAAGTGAAATAAATTAGACACATAAATTTAAATATTGCATGGTTTCTCTTATATGAGTAACCACAAATATAAATAAAGAGCTAAATAAAAGATAATAGAAAATAGGGAGGTAGATCTTTCTCAAATGATAAGGGAAGCAAGAGATGCAGGGGCTAAAAGCATATGCTAAAGAGAGCCTATTTAACAAATGGTGCTGGAAAAACTGGTTATCTGTGTGCAGAAGATTGAAACTGGACCCTTTCCTCTCAGCATATACTACTAAATTAAAATCAAAACTGATCAAAGATCTAAATATTAAAATGGAAATTAAACCCACTAGAATATAAACTAGGTAAAACACTTGAAGATATGGGTGTAGGAAAGGTCCTTGTAAACATAATCTCAATTGCACAAGAAATAACAGCAAGAATCACCAAGTGGGATTATATCAAACTAAAAAGCTTCTGTACAGCAAAAGAATCAATCAGAAGAGTGAAGAGATAACCTACAGAATGGGATAAGATTTTTGCCAGCTACTCCTCAGAGAGAACTACCATCTAGAATACAGAAAAAACTGAAAAAAATCAAACCACCTAAAATTAAAGGTCTAGTCAAGAAATGGGAAAGAGAAATGAACAAACACTTCAGAGGAATAAATAAAAATGGTCAAATAAATATATGAAAAAATGCTCAACATCTCTGGCTATCACAGAAATGCAAATTAAAACAATGCTAGGATTCCATCTTACTCCAGAAAGAATGGAAATCATTAAGAAATCAAACAATAACAAATGCTGGCAGGGGTGTGTTGAAAAAGGAATCTTCCTTCTCTGTTGTTGGGAATGTAAACTAGTACAACCATTACGGAAATCAGCATGGAGATTTTTTTCTTTTTTTTAAAAATTCTTTTATTGGTACATTTTAAGTATACAACACATTTACATTTATCATTGGGTGCTTGTACCTGTACATGATGTATCTTGGTTTATTTTTTTCCCCATTACCTGTGCGCCCTTCCCTATTTACATAGATTTCGTTTCCAGTTTTTTTCTTTTCTCAGAATTTTTCCTTTCCCTTGTTTCCTTTCCCCTTCCCCTCCCACCACCCCTACACCTTTGGACCTTTTCCTATTTCAATTATCAATTATTCATTTTAATCCTTATTTACACTCTCAGTTTCTCACACTGGAGAAACTATTTGGTATTTACACGTGTGTCCTATTTATTTCACTTAAGAGTATGGCCTCAATATGCATCCATTTAGCTATAAATGACTCTAGTTT